TTCCCTACATTTCTAAGCCAACCCAGTTAAGATAGTGCTGAAATGTACTGGGTGTCGCTACCTGAAAGTCACATGATACTGGTAAACAGCTTCATTTTGGCAATGTATTTTAATCAGGTTCAGAGCCAAGGGGAAAGCAGTTCCTTTTGATCCTTTCTTCACTACTGGGTCCCTGTAAGGATGAGGGGGAAAAATCCAGAAGGCATATGTGAATATTTTCTAGGTTAAATGCAAGGAAGAAGTACAAGTTGGTGATGCAACAACAGAACAGCAGTGCCTGCACTAATGATGAGCTTAGACCTCCATGTTTTACACTCATGCAACAACTGATCTGTGCTGAGAACAAAGCTTTTGTGCTTTCTGTATGGGTGTCTTAAAGCATTTAACAAGGAGTCAGTGATTCCTAAACCTTCCACCCCCTAAGATGAGATTTTCTGCATCATTTAGTTGGGCATACTCAGGAGTTGAGAAGTGATGTGACCCGCCCAAGTCTGCCCATGGCTCCTCAAAACCCTTTGTCCCAGAATCCTGCTTTGATTTCTACCAAGTCCTTAGCCAAAGTCAGTTTGGTACAGACTGTGGGAGTTTTTGCCTTCCTTTGTAGTGGTGGGGGCAAGGCCTTTTACCTGGGATCTCTCAAACATATATTAACCTTTTACAGAAGCAGGACATTGGCTGCTGTGGTTCCCCTGCTTTACCTGTTGCAAGTTAGGGTATTATGTCAGGGTTTATGGTACTTTTAGCAAGAGTTTAAATTATGGTTTGTATGGGATGGTTTGGATAGGGATGATCCTGCTTCAGGTAGGGGGTTGGACTACATGACCTCTGGAGGTCTCTTCCAGGCCTGCTTCTCCAATTTCTTTGCTAACCCGCAAATCAAAGCTCCCCCACCCCACCAGAAGATGACAACACAGACTTTAAGAGACAGGTACAAACCCCCTCTTTCTCCTCAACAGCATGAGACTCTCAAGGCCTAAGGAGTCTACCATGGATGTGTCCCATCCCTGAACAGAGGACAGGTGTGCTTGCCTTACTGTTTGCTATAACATAAAAGGTTGATCTATCAATGCACCTGCTACCTGACCTAATGTCTGGATCCCACCCCACCTCTCACTTACTTTCTTTCCACCTGCTCAACAGAGATGGCTGGGGGAATCTCTGCCCTGTGTGTGAACATGGGAGATGCTGGCTGTAAAGCAGAAGGCCGAGATATATTTGCATTCAGGAAAGGGAGGTCTCCAGAAGCTTTGGGCTTGGCCCTGCCAAGCACCAGGGCTGCTCTTCCAAAAGGGACAGGTGGGGCAGCTGCTTCCTTTTGGGCAAAAACCCTGAAATAATGTAATAAGATGAAAGACAGATAAGTTAGTCCAGTGGACCAGTAGCTTTCCCCCAGGCCAGAGCTGAAGTAACCTGCTTTTGCACCAGACAGGTCACAGGGAAGCAAGATTAGTCCTTCATTTCACTCCTTTGGTTCCTACACCAATATTTATTTAAGCCCAAAAACGAGATCGGCAGAGTGACTGACAACTGGCACAGCTGCAGCCAGACTTGCAACATACTTGTGCATCAGCAGTCACATGACATTTCTCCACTTTGTTGATTGGCCCTTATCCTGATAGCACAGATAAAGCTCCTGGGACCCCCAAACCTCCCCCAGCATCCTTGTTGCAGAGCCATAGGACAAAGCAAAACCACTCCTCACAATATATTCTTTTCATTTAATTTACTGTAGAACTTAAAGGGATGCGAGCCCCGTTGTGCTACGTGCTGAGCAAACAGACATTCTCTGCCCAGGACTACTTACAGTGGTCCAGCCAGGCTAGCTCTGAGTCTTCCACCCATTCCCTCTGGAATACGTTTGAAAACAGATAGCTACGGAAAAGCAAGTCCCTTCACGTTCTTGTATGAGTCAAAATCTAATGGGCGATGTATGCCAAGAGCTTGCTGTTTCTGTCCAGTTTCAGATTTGGGACAGTGTAACTGTGCTAAATTTCAGTTAGAATGAGGACTTTACTAGTAGGGAGGCTGAAGTACTGAAACCATATACATGTACTTGTGTGCTTCATCTCTGGGTTCCTTCTACAGCCTAGAGCTTGGAAGGGAAGCTGCCCATGCAAAAGCCACTGATGCAAACCATTCTCCTGGCTGGGGATATCACATGTGATCAGTGCACTGAAGCATGCCGATCTCCCCCAGTGAAAGGCAGGACCCATTTCTTAACACCAAGAAATTTCAGCTATAGAGAGTCTTCATCTCAGGGGTCTCGTCTATCACCTCCAAATGTTAATCTGCTTGCTGTGGGCACGCTGGCCCTTCCGATGGTAAAGTCAACAATGAAACAGTTTAAGAGGGGAAAACTCTGATTAAAAACACCAAGGTAAGCTTCCCCCAACTCAGCAGAACAAAACATGGCACAATCCTTGCTAGGATTCAAGCCTTGGAATCTAAGGAGCATTAGCATTTCAAACTGGAGGCTTGCTCTGCTCAGCCAACAGCAATGCCTCTGTGATATCTACTACACATATGCAGCAGATAAACTGGGCTTTCTGGACTATAAAAAGCTATCACTGAGCCAGCACTGCACACACAGTTCCATCAGAAGCAGCTCAGGCAAATATTTTACCCACATGCCACAAGCAACAGATGTCCTCCCCGCATTGTTGTCCCCAGCTGCCATGGCTTCTGGCGCTGGAAGACCGGGCTGCACTGATGTGCCGGGTTTGGCCTCCATACCACTTGTGGCCCAGCTCAAGACTCCACGACCTGAATGAAGGGGAAGATTGTAAATACATCAAAAGAAACCACCCAAGATCAGAAACAGGGACTTTCCTTATCTGTCTAAATATAATCCAGCAAAAGAGCCCCTGCAGGAAAAGTTTCTAAGAGTTATGCTAACTTACCCAAAGGCTGAGTCGCCCGTCCCAGCGTAGGTCTCGGGACTGTCTCAAACCCAATCCCTCGGAACATGGAAGACAGATCAGATGCAAGAGGCTCCTGCAGAAAGCCAAAAGACACATCTCCACACTGTGGGCCCTAAAAGGACTGCTGGTCTCAATGGTTTTCTGCATTTCCAAGTAGGAAGCTCTCTTTTAGTACTGGGACACAACTAGGAAGGAAGCATCTAATTGGGGAATCAGAACAGGGAGGTTTATTTGCCAGCTCTGCTTCCCAACACGTCCCAGTTATCGAATAACAGCATTTTCCTACTACAGATATCTACCGGCTACAGCTGTCAGCTTCCTTGGAGGAGTTTATAGACTGAGGACCTCAAATCAGACACTTGCAACTGTCAAGGAATTCACTTGCAATTTTCAGTTCTTTCCTTAAAGCCATAAAGAAAGTGGGTGCATTACTGAGTGAACCTCATATATAGTCACTGCTGGCTCTGGTTCCAGATCCGAGCTGGGACATGAACTGCTCGACACTACACAGAGCGCCTACGTAAAGGCACACGAGGAAAAGCGGCCAGGCTCGGATGCAGTTCTGAAGAGCAAAGCAGAAGCTGCACAGACATAGTTGAGGCCTGGCTACAGGAAGCATGTTGGGAGCTTACCCTGCTGCTTAGCACATCCTATGAAACAGCAATGCAGACTGCAAAACCGTGGGACATGTTTAGGTCTGTGTTAATGCAATATCCACAGCTGGTGCCCGTACTCTCATACAGCCTCTGTTGTCTATTAAACATCCCCATAGCCATAATAAAGGGGATTCATTATTTACTAAAAAACTAACTGTGAGATCAGAAGACACGCAAAGCAGAGACTCTCGGCATCACAGAGATTAAAGGCTGAAGCAGCTGTTGCCACATAAGCTTGTGCTCGGGGTCCTTAGCCACCCTTATAGTAAGAACAAGACATCAGTGCTCAGCGTTTGCTGCAGCCCCTGTCTACACAACCCCTTTACCTCACAGCGGAGGGGTTTTGTGGGTGGGATGAAACACAAGGAGCTGGCATAGACCCCGTTTCTCACATTCCCACCCAAAACGTCTCAAAGTAAACACTAAACAATAAAAGATACCAAATTTACCCAAAGAACCTGGTCTGTCAAAGTAAACACAGCACATTCAATTTGAGTAGAAGCGGCTCAAAACAGTGACGAGAAACCTACACAGCTGGGAAGTTAAGGAACTTAGGAAAAGCAGGGAGGGAAAAAAGGCATTCAACCACTCTTGTACCTGGCGCCTAGATAACACTTCCCGACAACTACGGTAACTGCAGAGCCACGTTCTCTTAGAGAAACGGCTTCCCTTCCCTTGTGACTAACCCGCTGATGATCTCCACACATACAACTTTCCACGGAGAGGGAAAATACACCAACTCAAAGCCAAGCATGTGCCAGCACAGAGCAAACAGGCCCAGGAGACAGACAAATGTCATCCCTGCCTAAGCCCCGTCAGTTTGGGGAATCCCAGGGCTTGCAGCGCTCAGCATGACGGCCCTGGAGGCAGCGCCGCAAGGCAAGTCATAGGCAGGACGCTATTAGAGAGATCAGGACTCGGGGGTCAGCCGTACCCAGCTGCCCTCAGCACCGCCCCCTGCCCGCTACCAACTCACCTGCCGGCTACGCCCCCGGGGCGCTGGGGGCAGCCGGGGCTCCCCTGGGGGCCACCTGCCCGCCCGGCCCCAGGGCTGGCTCTTGGTGCAGGACGAGCAGGGCTCAGCCCTGGGCAGGGAAGCGCCGAGTGGCACGCGGTAGGGGGCTGCGCCCGGGATCGGGGGACGCCACAGGGGGTCCATCGTGGGGCACCACAGCTGCTGTGGAGGGGAACGGACTACAGTGAGAGGGTGCCCGGCAAAGGCGCTGGGATGCCCAAGAGAGATGCACCCCACCACAAGGCAGCCCCTCCCCC